TGGCTGGGCAGCTGTGGCGTTGCGAGAGAGCTGGCTATGGTTCAGGTGTCTCAGCAGTTGGGATTGAGTCTGGCTGTAGACATCACTGTGATTGAATGTGGCCTTGCTCAAGGGTGAAGATACTAGTCTTATTCACAGTGAGACTTAATAGTTGTTGTTGTTGTGTTTAAGTAACTCTTACAGCTATAGAAACACTATGCACAGTATTTTTAATTAAATGCCTTACATTTACATACAAACTGAGTCAGAGTTAGTTGAAAAGAAGTAGGGATATTTCAAAGTACAGAATAGCCAGTAGGTATATACCATAATCTTTTATAAAATAGTTGAGAATGTTCAATTTTGTTGAATATGGAAAGTTTAGGAATTGAATTTTGTGTTATCTCTGGCATAGTCCTTAGGCAAAGTAGTGTTGTAGGGTACAAGTGTTAGAATGAGTGCACAGGTCTGAATTCTGTAGGGTGTGCTTAGTGAAAGGGTTACTTTGGGTAAATTAGCAAATGTTTTAAAATACCTTATGTTCTCCCATTTATTAAATGATTGTTCTGTGTGTCATAAGATTGTCATAAGAATTAAATAGTATATTCTTTTCCCTTGCTGGGTACTTTCTCTACCACTTAAACCATGAGTGCAGACGTATTGCATTTAGTTTGTTTTACAGATAAGGTCTCTTGATTTTGGTTGTGTGGTTTCATACCAGCAACCTCTTATCTCCACCTTCAGAGTAGCTAGGATTTTAGGTATGCACCACCATGCCCAGCTGTGTGTGTTGTGTGTGCATGCGTGCACATGTGTGTGTGTGTGTGCGTGTGTACGCGTGCACATGTACACATCTGCACTTTTTGGCCCTCTACCACTTGAGTCACAGCTCCACTTCATCTTTTTTGGTGGTTAATTGGAGATAAGAGTCTCACATACTTTCTTGCCTGGGCTGGCTTTGAACTATAACACTCAGATCTCAGCCTTCTGAGTAGCTAGGATACAGGTATGAACCACCATGCCTAGCTTAAATTTTTATTTTTTAAGGACTTTTTGAGGATGTAAATTTCAAAAATTAAAGTTGCCTAAGTATCATTGGAAAAAGTAGTTTAGGCTAAAAAAATGTTCATTTATTTCTGGTTGTTTTGGAGATGATCTTTTTATATTATATTATCATAAATATCTCCTTTGGGAGGAGGCAATAGCAAAAAGGACATAAAGTTAGTTTTATATCATTTAAAAGGTTGTAATTTAAAGCAGAGGCAGTGCCAGACATGTAAAGATTGTGCTAAAGTTCACATCTTTATCATTTTGTTTCATGTTCATAGTAGACAGAAGGATATATCCTTGCCTAAATTGTAGGTATTAAAGTAGATAAAGGCAATGAATCAGAAAGTTCCTTATAAGCAATGACATTTCACTGTGAAGCAGTTGCATTCTTTCCCTTGGCACACTAGTGGCTGACTGCCAGTGCTAGTAATGTTCATGCCAAGTCATCCCTGGTATTACCCTGTAGTTTTTTTCGGTTCTGTTATTTCAGATCTTTGGTATAACAGTCTGAAAGAGCTTGATATTTTCTGAATAAAAATTCCAGAATGCTTGAAGTCTGTGAGAGCTCCATTGCTCTTAGTATATCCAGTCAGATATTTGATAATACCGGAGACAGGAGCCTATAAGAGTTTTCTGCAGTTTCTCTAGTATAAAAATGTTAATTCCTACTATCATATTAAGTACATTTCTCTTGATGTACGGGAGGGTGAAGGATTGGTCTTTATCTACATCAAATCTTCCTTTGAGGTTAAGAGGCCGCAAGAATCTCTTTCAATGGTAGCATAGCTATAGCCTTCCTGTTTAATATTTCAGCAGGATTATTTCATTTGTGTTCTTTCCCATTTGAAATCATGATTCGGGGATATGTATTCCCAGACTTAGTAGTTACAATAAAGAAATGCTAGCCAGAGTTTGTGACAGGTATATTTTATACTCTTTTTCAAACCTCTGAAATTTAAAGACATTTTTAGAAGTTTAATCTGAGGAGGCAAGTGGGAGAAGTCATCACAATTGCTTCTATAGCTTAACTTAGCTTACTAGAGCAAGTAGAAAACAGTGCCTCGTGTGTGTTCTTTATTGAAATAACACCACACAGTAGAAAGACATAACGTCATTGAACTGCGGGGTAGTTTTCATTTTTAATAAAAATTGTGGAGTACTGCAACCATTCTTTAAAGTCTATGAACTTCAACAATAATTAAGATAATAATGCTTTGTTTATGAGTTAGGCCTGTTAGACTTTGAGCAACTTGTTGAGTGGAATTATTCTAAGTTTTTGACATCTTTCTTTGATGATTTTAATTTAGATGACCTAGGAAAAAGATTGTTTTAAAATTTGAAGTTTCTGCTTTTTATCCTCTGGAACAATTGGATTGTAAGAATTTGGATTTAATCTTTCTGGATCTCAACTTGTTATTTCTCTTTGTTTAGAGTTTAAGTTCAGAAGACTGAATCTTTCTTCAGGAATGCAGAAATGCTGGAAAAGAAAGGGTTAATCTTCAAATAAGAGAAAATAACTTATGGTAGCATTTATGTTAAGATTAACGGTTTTGGAGGGATGGGACATAGAACTGAGATTAAATTGGCCTTTTAGCAAATGTATCTAAGATTTATTTTATCTAGAGTTGAGACTCAGAGTGAACATTTGGAAATTTTGAGCACTTAAGTTGACTTTTGCTAGGATCTGAATGCATTCAAAGCATATATAATGTTTTATGTTTTATATAAATATTATTATGTCCACAAGATTTGAGTTGTCTTTCCACAAGTGATATTGTGCTAATTTGTTACTTGTGCCAATTAAATTATACCTGATTGGGTATTTTACCTCAGAACTAAAGATATACATGTTAAAAGATATGCAGCCACAAGATGATCTGTAAATCAAATCATTTAGTTATATGTATGTACCATTTATTGCGCTTACTTAATGCTTTTGTATCTTTCATAAAGTAAACTTTTTGTTTGTTAGTTGGTTGGTCATGGGGCTTGAACTCTGGGCCTGGGCACTGTCCCTCAGCCCTTCAGCCCAAGACAACTGCTCTACCACTTGAGGCCACAGGGCCTCTTCTAGAGGAGCCATACTTACCATTTTAAGATAATACTAGTCTCTAGAACCTATTTTTATTCTAAAACCATAAAAAGAACAATTTAAAGCTTTTAAAAATCAGGGGCTAGATAGTTCAGAATAAGTTAAGAACTCAAAGAGTAAGATGCTTTTGGACTGACTATGCCTACATGTTAAGTAACGTGTGGCTCTAGAGCTTGAATTGGGGAGCCCTGAGCTTGTTGCTAGAGATGAAGGAAAGCAGAGATGAGAGGGCTGCAAGTGAGCAGGGACTAGACTGTTAAACTACTTGTGAATGGGGTTAACTTCAGAACAGGTTTGATTTTTTTTTTTTTGCCTGTGAAATATTTTTATGTTACAAAACAGCACAATTATTTGTGAATCAAAAATCTTTTAAGCACAACGGAGAATCAAAGCTTAGAGCATTACAGTAGGTTGCTAACTCTTCCTCCTCGGCTTAACTAGAGATTCTAAACATGTCATTCCAGGGTCCTTACTGCTTATTTCCATAGGTGATACAAAACTAACCCATTTTCCATTTCACTTGATCTCTAAAGTAACTCAGTGTTTTTGTTTGTTTGTTTGTTTTTTGTACTAAACTATAGTACAGTATCTTTCCAGGCTCTGTTTTACTATTAAGTATTTGATTTATCTGTCCCGTTACCCCAGAGGAGATCAAATCAGGCTCACTTTGATTGAGATAATCAGTACTTTTAATACTATAGAGACTGACCTTCAACTTGCTTAATGGATAAGCATTATGCTAAGTACATAAGCTAGTCACAAAAATGTACATTCTGTTACTCAATTTATATGAGACACCTAAAGTAGAGAACAGGTTTGATTTTGCTTTTAGGTTTTACATTTATTAATCTCAAATTAAAATTCTTCCTCCCATACAACTGTTCTCCAAAAGGTATTATGTTGTTGTTGTTTTGTTTTGTTTTGCTCCTTTTTGTTGGTTGTGGCTTGAACTCTGGGCCTGGCACTGTCCCTGAACTCTTCAGTTCAAGGCGAGTGCTCTACCACTGGACCCACAGTGTTACTTGCGGTTTCCTGGTGGTTAATTGGAGATAGGAGTCTCACAGACTTACTTGCCCAGGCTGGTTTTGAACCATGATCCTCAGATCTCAACCTCCTGAGTAACTAGGATTACAGCCACCCATGCCTGGTTTATTGTGTTATTTATTTATTTTTTTAAAAGGAAATAAGGTACAGGGAAGCAAAATTTAGAAATCTTTAGAATTGTCTGAGTAGAATTAGCATATTTAGATTTTTTTCAGCTGTATATTTTATTTTCAGCTGAAAGGCCTCAAAGCAAAAACTAGGTCCTTTATAATTACATATAAATCATGGTGGGTCCACTATTTGCTATATGATCTTAGAGGCACATTTAACATTCTTCCTATTATCTATTCTGAGTCTGAGAGTCATTATTTGATGCTTTCACTCATTGTCTGGTGCTCAACCACCTGAGCCACACCTCTAGCCCCCATTATTGTTTATTGAGATGGGGTGTCATGCTATGTAGCCCAGACTATTCTCAAATTTAGGATGCTTCTGCCTATCAAATGCTGAGATTACAGGTAGTTATCATCACTCTTGGCTTTCCTACTACTTTTAATGTAAGACAGTATATTTACTTGATGAGAAGTTTTTATTCCCATCACATAATATTTTGTTTATATCCTGTATAAACGAACCATGCTACCTGTCTGTAGAATAACTGAGTAGTGGTTAAAGATGGCTTATAATTAAAACATTTCTATATTAGGAGCTAAAATGAGCATTTAAAAGTGATTTGTAGTAAGAATATAACTTTGTATGCCTAGGCAGTTTTTATAGTATGCTTTTGCACAATTCTTACTTTATCTTTTAAAATAAATCTCTTTTTTCCCTTTAGGAGATAAGGATGGCAGCAAGGTGACCACAGTGGTGGCAACTCCTGGGCAGGGTCCAGACAGGCCACAAGAAGTCAGCTATACAGACACTAAAGTGATTGGAAATGGATCATTTGGTGTAGTATATCAAGCCAAACTCTGTGATTCAGGAGAACTGGTTGCCATCAAGAAAGTATTGCAGGACAAGAGATTTAAGGTAAAAACCTTTGAGTATTTCTTTTTTCTTTCTTTCTTTCTTTTTTTTTTTTTTGCTATTTTGATGCATGATGTATGTAAAAGATTTGTTTCAGTTACTTCATTTTGCTTAGCATTTCATCTATTGTGTTAATTTTTGTTCAGCTTAATTACTGTAACTACTTGATTTTCCTCCTCTCCCTTTCCCTCCCTTCCCTTCCAGTCCTGAGGCTTGAACTCAGGACCTGTGCACTGTCCCTGAGCTGCTTTTGTTCAAGGCTAGCATTCTAACACTCTAACACTTGAACCATAGTGCCACTTCTGGCCTTTTCTGTTTATGTGGTACTGAGGCATCGAACCCAGGATTTCATGCATGCTAGGCAAGCTCTAAGCCACATTCCAAGATTTCTAATTATATATTTTATAGCGATAGAATTTACCAAAGGTTAACATTTCTCTATAAACACTGCCAAGTGAGACTAAAAAATCCTATGAAAGGGAAGTTAAAAATGTTTAATTTATTCTTTTTTTTTAAAAAAATAACGTTTTCCTGCATTGTGCTTCACTGGTGTGAGAGATGAGAGAAGTACTGACTGGTATTTGTGTGTTCGATACAGTTGAGTATGGTTAATGTGGAAAATAGCCTTCCATCGTGCAGCACTATCACCCCCTCCATAATGCTTAATCTTTCTTTGCTGCCTTCCTTTGGTTCTTCTTCCTCTTGCCCCTAGACACCTGCAGTACCCAAGTTCAGTTCTTGTTTTTCCCATTTCTTATACAATATGTGTGGAAAATTAGATATTTTTGTATTGTGTAGTGGAGAGTAATAACAAGCTTTGCAGACTTTCTCTCTTCTGTTTCTCTCACTTATGCAACATTTATTTTACCTAGAGATTCCCATGTACTAAGGACTATGCTAAACTTTCCATTGAGTGATATTAAAAAATAAAGAAGTGAACACTACTTTGAAATAGCACTCTGATGATTACTGCTCTAGAATGCCTAAAATATTCTAAGGAGGTTTTGCTTTGATGTGTGTGCTTACGTGTGCTTGCATTTACTGTCCCTAAGTTGTCCCTTAGCCTTTTTTGCTCAAGGTTAATGCTTCACCAGTTGAGCCACCATTCAACTTCCAGCTTTTTGGTGGTCAGTTGGAGACAAGAGTCTCACACACTTTGCGGCTCATGTTGGCCTTACTCCAAAGCCTTCCTACATTGTGTCATGACTGAATATCCCCCCTTCCCCAAACAAAACAAAACAAACCAGTGTTACAACTCACTCTATTGTAGTATCAGACTGTCATTTCAAATCTCTTATAGTCACTGTATTAAACCTCCTCTTTCCACTTTCAGAAAGAGATATTTGCATATACAAAAGAGTTATGAAATCAATTAGCTTCTATACAATACTATCATGTAATATACAGATCTTATTAAAGTTTCTCTAGTTGTCCCAGTAATGGTCTTTACAGCAAAAGAAAATACTGGTTTATGTATTTTCATTGTTATGTTTCAATAGTTCCCTACACTGGGAGAATTTTTCAGTTATTATCATTTATAACATTCACATTTTTGTGTAGTTAGTATAGACTAGTTATTTGAGGTTATCTAATATTTTATTATTATTAGATTGAGAACGTTAATTTTTTAAGTAGAAATGCCATAGCAATGATAGTTTGTTCTTAATGTATCATGTTGGGAGGCCCATTATTGATAATATGACATAAGTAAGTATATGCTTCCTGCAGGTTTACTATTTTTTCTCTTGTAATAAGGCTGTGGAGAGGTAGTTCCTACATTTTGTAAAAACCCCTGTCTTCTTTTGTTTGTTTGCCAGTATTGAAGCTTGAACTCGGGGATTTTGCAACTTGCTTGGCTTGCTCAGGGTTATCCCTCTACCAACTGAAGTATTTTCTGTCCAGCCTGACTTTTTGCTGGTTATTTTGATGAAATTTTATACCTGGGCTGGCTTGGAACCTCCATCCTCCAGGTTTGAGCCTTATAGGATTATAGGCCTGAGACACTGTTGCCCACTTAATATGTATTATTTTCCACCAAACTTTTGCCAAATGGTTTTAGTATTCACTGACACATCTTGTTTGAATCAGTTGAAGTTACAGCAGCTAAATTATTTTTAATTTATGAGTTGAGATTCTGCCATAATGAAGAACTTTTTTATACTTACCTATTACTGAATGAGGTATAATATATAACATATGAGTTATAATAAATACAATTTTGCTTTTTTTTTTTTTTGGGTGCTAGTTCTGGGCTTGAACTCAGGGTCTAGAGGCTGTCCCTGAGCTTTTTTGCTTTAGACTAACACTGTACCACTTGAGTTACAGCTCTACTTCTGGCTTTTTGGTAGTTAATTATTACTTTATTAATATTAATACTCTGTCAATACTTTATTAATATCAACAAATATTTTAATATAATACTTTAGTAACATTAAATTCTTAAATGCTAAATGAATTATTTATTTTATTAAATAAATAGTTTATTAATTACTTAATAAAGATAAGAATCTCAGACTTTTCCTGCCTTGACTGACTTTGAACCTTGATCTTCAGATCTTAGCCTTCTATTTAAATAGCTGGGATTACAGCACCCAGCGATTTTGTCTTTTTTTTTTTTTTCCTTTTTGCTACCTAAATTGGCCCAGCTGTGGCCGTTGAAAGTCCTTTCAAGTTAACTCTAAGGCCTCCTAGCCAACAATAGACAGTTAGTAGAAATATGTCTGTATTTGTATGGGTATTTATATGTACATGTGTATACACACATATGATTCAGGAATAAAATATCTTTCCTTTTTTTCAAGTCTACTGTTAGGTCTTTTAGTTTATTTCTAACTATTTTAATTGTTTTGTTATATGGTTTTTATCTATATGTTAAAAAGTAGATACACAAAGAAAGCTCAGTTCTTCTTGTTATATCACTCTTCCTTTTTAGAATATTCTTTGTTCTTCTTTAATGTTAACTGTACAAGTAGTTGGGATGAAAATACAAAATCTGATATATTGATTAATTTCTTTCTCTTGGTTATCATAAAATAATAGGTGTTTCTCTGACAATTTAAAAATCTGTTTATGTGGTACTGAGGAATGGGTTTCATGCATGCTAGACAAGCACTCTACCACTAAGCCACAATCCCAGGCCAGAGCTGTATTTTTGACTTCCAAAATTTTATTTTATGTTTTAACTGCATTTGGTCAAAATTGCATTTGCTGAACCTGAGAATTAAGCAGTCTTACTGTTTAAGCTGTATTTTTCTTCTTATGACTTGGAATTACTACAGCCTGATATTCATTTTGAGTTTTACCTCATATTTGTTTTACTTCTATACTTGTTGATCCCATTTTTCAAGTGCCAAATTATTTGTATTTACAACAGCAGTGCACATCATTCATGGAAAACCCATTTGCTGATAAAATGGATGGGCATCTTTAAACAGTTGTGATCTGTACCCATGCCTTATAAAACAATGTTGTTGGGCCCACAAAAACTTGCAGTTACTAAGTGGAAGCTAAAATCCCAGTGGGTGGAAAAAGACAAGGACAGTTCGGGTAGGAAAAGTCTTACACAACACTACACCTTTAAGAAAGAAACAGCAAAGGTGAAGAGAGTAATAATCTAAAATTGCCCTGTCAGAGGAGTATAGTCAGCCAAGTAGCCCTGTATTAAGTATGCCTGCCATGCCCAGTCATTGGCTGCAGACAACTCATTGGAATCTTGGCTTGTTCCCAGCAAGATAAGTGGTTTGAGAACTCAGCACCATTGGTCAGCAGTGTTCTCTTTGTAGTGAGAAATCTGAGAGGGCACATTTTTGTAGTTGTCATACCAAACTTCTTAGTACTTATACATAGGGTATCAAGGGAAATGTGTGTGTGTGTGTGTGTGTGTGTGTGATTGTGATTGTGATTGTGTGTGTGTGTGTGTGTGTGTGTGTGTCTATGTGTCTGTGTGTGTATGATGTTTTACCGTAAATGAATTTCCAAAGGCTGGTGTGAAAGAATTCTATTGATTGTGCACTTAAAATCAGAATTTTATTGTCTCCATTATGGCAGAAGAAAAAAATAGAGGTATCATATTTGTGGACCTGAATGTCCCCCTCTTTCTGGTTTGCTGTGGCTTAAATGTTTAGGAGAGAAATGAAATAAAAGGTGCAATTGCTTTTCAAGTTTTCTCACTTTTATTTGACTTTATTATTATTTAGCATTTACATTATTCTAAAACTTGTATATCAGTGGTAAATTTAAAAGCATTGTTTAATATTAGGATTGTATTTTTTTGTGTGCAGTAGTTACCTGACATAAAGTTTACAATTCAGTAGTTTGGATAGAGTACAAGAATCCTACAACTGTCACCACTGTCTAATTTCAGAGCCTGTTCATCATCTCAAAAAGAAATTCTTACCCATTCACTGTTTGTCCCTTTCCTTTCCTTCTAAGGTTTGGGAAATGGCTAATCTAACTGGCCTTTCTGGACATTCATGTAAATGATTGGCTTCTTTCACTTACTATAATACTTTTAAGGTTAATACCTGTTGTTTCATGTTTTTAATAGTTCATTCTTGTTTATCATTGAATAATATTTTAATGTGTGGACTTATTACACTCTTTGTATGTCTGTTCATCAACTGATGAACATTTAGGTTGTTTACATTCCTTGGGTTCTATACTTGTGTTTTTTGTTTGTTGGTCATGGGGCTTGAATTCAGCCTGGGTGCTGTCCCTCAGCTCTTCAGCTCAAGGCTAGCACTCTACCACTTGAGTCACAGCTCCACTTCCAGCCTTTTCTGTTTATATGGTGCTGAGGAATTGAACCCAGGGTTTTGTGCATGGGTGACAAGCACTCTACCATTGAGCCACCTTCCCTACCCTATACATGTGTTTATAAGTATTTGTATGGACATTTGTTTTGAGCATCTATATCTAGGAGGCAACTTCTGAGTCATAGAGTGATTCTATAATAATTTGAGGAATTCTGAATCTCTTTTAGAATAAATTGTACCATTTTACAA